TCTGTCCCTGTCCCTGGCGTCGTGCTGGGGGGGGGCACAGAGGGGTGGGGGGGCTGATGGTGCCGGGATGCTCCCCCTGGACCCATTCCTGGTGTTTTTCCTCCCCAAATTGACTCACTGCCATCCCTTTGCCAGGCTGTGGGGCGAGGGCAGGGTGCCCCTTTTACAGCCGGGCTCTGCTTTGCCCTTTTTTTTTTTAAATTTTATTTTTTCTGGGGGTTTTTTTTTGCAGTCTCCTCCCCCACCGTGGGCAAACCCTACAAGTGCAACTACTGCGGGCGCAGCTACAAGCAGCAGAGCACGTTGGAGGAGCACAAGGAGCGGTGCCACAACTACCTGCAGAGCCTCAGCACCGACCCGCAGCCGCTGCCCGCACAGCAAGGTCCGTCCCGGGGGGGGACACCACCACCGGGGGGGTCCCACAGGGAGGGAAACCCGGGGGGGACACGTGGGGTTCACTTTCCAGCCTCCTGTCGGGCTGGAGTTTTTGGGGACACCCCTTTTGAAGCTGGGGGGCGTGGGGTTTGCTTTTCAGCCCCCTGTAGGGCTGAAGATTTTGGGGACACCCCTTTTGAAGCTGGGGGGCGTGGGGTTCGCTTTTCAGCCCCCTGTAGGGCTGGAGATTTTGGGGACACCCCTTTTGAAGCTGGGGGGCGTGGGGTTTGCTTTTCAGCTCCCTGTCGGGCTGGAGTTTTTGGGGACACCCCTTTTGAAGCTGGGGGGCATGGCGTTTGCTTTCCAGCCCCCTGTAGAGCTGGAGTTTTTGGGGACACCCCTTTTGAAGCTGGGGGGCGTGGGGTTCACTTTCCAAGCCCCCTGTTGGGCTGGAGTTTTTGGGGACACCCCTTTTGAAGCTGGGGGGCGTGGGGTTCCCTTTCCAAGCCCCCTGTAGGGCTGGAGTTTTTGGGGACACCCTTTTGAAGCTGGGGGGCGTGGGGTTCCCTTTCCAAGCCCCCTGTAGGGCTGGAGTTTTTGGGGACACCCTTTTGAAGCTGGGGGGCGTGGGGTTCCCTTTCCAAGCCCCCTGTAGGGCTGGAGTTTTTGGGGACACCCTTTTGAAGCTGGGGGGCGTGGGGTTCCCTTTCCAAGCCCCCTGTAGGGCTGGAGTTTTTGGGGACACCCTTTTGAAGCTGGGGGGCGTGGGGTTCCCTTTCCAAGCCCCCTGTAGGGCTGGAGTTTTTGGGGACACCCTTTTGAAGCTGGGGGGCGTGGGGTTCCCTTTCCAAGCCCCCTGTAGGGCTGGAGTTTTTGGGGACACCCTTTTGAAGCTGGGGGGCGTGGGGTTCCCTTTCCAAGCCCCCTGTAGGGCTGGAGTTTTTGGGGACACCCTTTTGAAGCTGGGGGGCGTGGGGTTCCCTTTCCAAGCCCCCTGTAGGGCTGGAGTTTTTGGGGACACCCTTTTGAAGCTGGGGGGCGTGGGGTTCCCTTTCCAAGCCCCCTGTAGGGCTGGAGTTTTTGGGGACACCCTTTTGAAGCTGGGGGGCGTGGGGTTCATTTTCCAGCCTCCTGTAGGGCTAGAGTTTTTGGGGACACCCCTTTTGAAGCTGGGGGGTGTGGGGTTCGCTTTCCAGGCCCCCTGTAGGGCTGGAGATTTTGGGGACACCCCTTTTGAAGCTGGGGGGCGTGGGGTTTGCTTTTCAGCTCCCTGTCGGGCTGGAGTTTTTGGGGACACCCCTTTTGAAGCTGGGGGGCATGGCGTTTGCTT